GAGCCCATATATAGCAGTAGCAGCAGCCACAGTAGCTTTGGGAGTTCTTAGCCCAGAAAAAGTAAGGGGGTCAGATAACTGGTCAGAAAGAGATTAAAGGGGACCATTTGTTGTCACTGTTACATATAGTAGTGATTGACAACTCTGTTGCCCATATACAATTCTGGATCACAATTCCAGGTCAAAGAGGAGTGCTGGTGGCCAGTCACAAGAGAGTGGGGGCCTGGTCGTTTCAAGGCAAAGGAAGTGCTAGTACTTGTGGCTGTGGGGGATGAGAGGCCCTTCCTGGGTAAAGATCAGAGTGCAGACCAGGAGAGCAATGACCATACCTCTCCCAGGATCATACTCCTTGGAAACACAAAAAACTAGTAGACCCCCCCCCCCCCCCCCGCCCAGGACTAGTTCTGAAAACCGCAGCATGAGAAAGTCTGACACTTTGGACAATGCCTCTTCACCCACAGGTAAGCAGAGCCCAATTTAACTTTATGCTTAATTTGAATTTTATAGTTCAAAGTCAAGAAATAGACTGGAAAAATGAGCAAACAACAACAAAAAAAATTGACCACAAAAAGCTACTATGGTGACAGAGAAGACCAAAGACATGAACTCAGAAGAAAATAGTATTAAAAACAGCTACAATCATGGCCTCAGAAAAATACTAATTTGCCACAACCTCAATAAGAATTCCTAGAAGAGCTAAAGAAAGATAAGAGTGGTACAGGAAAAATTGGGAAAAGAAATGAGAGTAACGCAAGAAAATTATGAAAAGAGAATTAACAGTTGCGTACAAGAGGCATCAAAATTACTGAAGGAAATAACACTTTTAAAAATGTTATTGGCCAAATGGTAAAAGAGGCAAAATCTACCGAAGAGAAGAACTCCTTAAAAAGCAGAATTGGCCAAATGAAAAAGGAGGTGCAGAAATTCACCAAAGAAAAGAGGTCCTTAAAAAGCAGAATTGGCCAATTGTAAAAAGAGGTACAAGATTTCTTCAAACAAAATAATTACTTAAAAATCAGAATTGAGGAAGTGGAAGCTAATGACTCCATGAGATAACAAGAAACAATAAAACAAAGTCAAAAGAATGAACAAAAAATGAAGAAAACGTGAACTACCTCATCAGAAAAATGACTGATCTAGGAAATAGATCCAGGACAGCTAATTTCAGAATTGTTGGACTTCCTGAAAGCTATGTTCAAAGACAAAGCCTAGACATCTTCTTTCAAGAAATTATCAAGGAAAGTTCTCCTGTTATCTTAGATCTAGAGGGTAAAATAGAAATGGAAAGACCCCTGAAAAAGGTTGCAAAATAAAAACTCCCAAGAATATCATAACTAAATTCCAGAGTTACCAGGTCAAAGAGAAAATATTGCAAGCAGTCAGAAGAAAATAATTTAAATATCATGGAGCCACAGTCAGGATCTCACAAGATTTAGTGACTTCCATGAAACAGAGGTCTTGGAATATGATATTCCAGAAGGCAAAGGAGTTAGTATTACTACCAAGAGAAACCTACTCTGCTAAACTGAGTATAACCCTTCAGGGAAAAAAATGGATATTTAATGAAATAGAGTATTTTCAACCATTCCTGATAAAAAAAAAAAAACCCAGAGCTGAATAGAAAATTTATCATTTAAACACAGGACCCAAGAGAAACATAGAAAGGTAAACATGAAATATTTATAGCAACTCTTTTTGTGGTAGAAAAGAACTGGAAATTGCGAGGATGCCTGTCATTTGCGGAATGGCTGAACAAGTTGTGGTATATGATTGTGATGGGATACTATTGTGCTATAAGGAATGCTGAGCTTGATCATCTTAGAAAAACGTGGATTAAAAAGTCTCATGATGGAAAATACTCTCCACATCCAGAGAAAGAACTAGGGAGTTTGAATGCAGATCAAAGCATACTATTTGCTCTTTTTTTCTCTCTTCTGTTTTGTTATGTTCTTTCTTGTGGTTCCTCCTATTGGTTCTAATTCTTCTTTACAACGTGACTAATGTGAAAATATGTTTAATAGGAATGTATATGTACAGCCTGTATCAGATTGCATGCTTTCTTGGGGAGGGAGGTGGAAAGGACGGGGAAGAAAATTTAAAACTCAAAAGCTTATGGAAGTGAATGTTGAAAACTAAAATAAATTGATAATAAAAAAAGAAAAACATGGATAGACTTGCATGAAATAATGAAGAGTGAAATGAGCGGAACCAAGAGAACATTGTATACATTAACAACAGTATTGTTTTAAGAACAACTTTGAGTGACGTAAATCCTTTTGACTATTATTAATACCCAAAATAACTACAAAGGACATATGAAGGAAGATGCTATCTGCATCCAGAGAAAGAACTGATTAATATAACTATGGATAGAATGATTTTACATATATATATGTATATGTCTGTATACATATGCATACACACATATATGTATATATGTATGTATATGTATGTATATATATACACACACACACACATGCATACACATCTTTGTATCTAATGGTAGCTATCTCTAGGGTGGGGGTGAGAAGAAGGGAAAAAAGAGGAAACAAAAGAAAAAAACAAGTTACATGATAACTTTATTATGTATTTAAAAGAAATAGCAAGTTGTTTATAATAGATTTGCAGTTTCATGTACAATCATCTTTTTTTCTATTATACTGTATTATATGCTTATTTTATTAAGTTCAGAATAAAATAAATTAAATTTTTAAAAAGGTAAACATGAAAGAATAGTCATGTGGGACTCAAATAAAGTTAAACTGTTTACATTTATATGGGAAGATGATACTCTTAAGAACTTTATCTTTATTAGGGCAGTTAAAAAGAGTTTACATAGAGAGAGGACATGGGTATAAGTTGATTATGTTGGAATGATCTCCAAAAAAATGAAGAGGTGAGAAAGAGGGATACACTTAAAGAAGGGGGAAGGGAGAAGTAGAATGGGTCAAATTTTCTCACCTAAAAGAGGTGTACAAGGACAAGCTTTTTGCAATGGGGAGGAATATGGGGGGGCAGGCAATGCTTGAACCTCACTTTCATTGGAATTGGTTCAAAAAGGGAAGAATATATATACATACATACATACATACATACATATATATATATACACACACACACACACACACACACACACATATGTACTCAGTTGTGTATAGAAATATAATTTGCCCAATAGGGAAATAGGAGGGAAGGGCATGAGAGAAAGGGTGTAGGTGATGATGAAAAGGAAAGTGATTAAGGGAGGCAGTGGTTACAGCAAAATAGACTTTAAGGGAGGGACAGGATAAAAAGAGAGAAAGAGAAAGAAAAAGAAGTAAATATGATGGAGGGAAATATATGCATTAATCAAAACTGTGAATGTGAATGGTATGAGTTCGTTCATGAAATGAAAACAGATAGAAGAATGGATTATAAAACAGAATCCAACAATGTGTTGTTTACAAGAGATACACTTGGAACAGAAAGACACACAGTTTAAAATAAAGGGTTAGAACAGAATCTAGTATGCTTTAGCTGAAGTACAAAAAGGCAGAGGTGGCAATTATGATCTCTAACAAAGCAAAAGCAAAAGCAGAAAGAGACTTGATTGCAAGAGATAATCAGATATGTTATGTGAAAAGGTATCAAAGACAATGAAAAAATATAAAAGCAAATATTATACCAAGTTTCTCTGGTAAAGGCCTGATTTCTCAAATACTTATTGAGTATAGAACCGAGTCAACTTTATAAAAATAAGGCCCATTCTCCAATCGATAAATGGTCAAAGGATATAAACAGGCACTTTTCCGAAGAAGAAATCAAAGCTATCTAGTCATATGAAAAAATGCTCAAAATCACCATTGATTAGAGAAAGGCAAATTAAAACAGCTTTGAGGTACCACGTCACATCTATCAGAAATGACAAATGCTAGAGGAGTTGAGGGAAAAATAGGTACACTAATGGTGGAGTAGTGAACTGGTCCAGCCATTCTGGAGAACAATTTGGAACTATGCCCAAAGGGTTACAAGACTATGCATACTCTTTGCCTCAGCGATACCATTCCTAGGTCATTATTCCAAAGAGATCAAAGAAAAAGGAAAGGGACCTATAGGTACAAAAATATTTATAGCAGTTCTTTTTGTGGTAGCAAAGTATTAGAAATTGAGAAGATGCTCATCATTTGGGGAATGGCTGAACAAGTTGTGGCATATGAGTGTGATGGAGTACCATTGTACCATAAGAAATGACGACAGGAGTGGTTTCAGTAAAACATGGTAAGATCTATATGAATTGATGCAAAGTGAAGTGAGAATTGGGAGATTGTGTTGTGTACAATAACATCAATGTTTTAATAATGATGAACAGTGAAAGACTTGACTACTTGGAGCTAAACAATGATCCAAGACAATTCCAAAGGACTCAGAATGAAAAAATACTATCTCCAGAGAAAGAACTGATGAACTCTGAATGAAAATTAAAGTATAACTTTCTCATTTTCTTTATTTTTCTTGTTTTATTTGAAATATGACTAATATGGAGATATGTGTTGAATGATTTCACAGGTATAATTGATATCATATTGCTTTCATTTTCAGTGAATGGGGGAGGAAGTGAGAGATATGGGTGAAGGTTGAGTCCCTTTAGGGATATTAGGTTAGGGGCTGCCAGTGGCCAGTTCCTGAGTTGGTTAGGCCAGGCATTTTTAAGGGGACCTGAGGGCAAGCTGCTCTTCCGTACTCATTTTCTTGTCCATCTGTCAGATGGGTGGGTTACCTTCATCTTGCTGGCCTCTATCAGGGCTTATCAGGCCTCCCAGAAAAGCATGGGATGCCCCATTGGTTGCATAAATAGGATGGCCATGGACCAAGTGAAAGGGGAAGTGCATGGAACATCTGGGCATCTTGTAAGACACAGCAAGTTAGTGTCAAAGGATCACATGAGCATTGTTTACACTATAATCATATTCATGATGAAAATAAAATGAAAAGCCATTGTCCTTTTTTTCCTCCTGTTTTAGGTACCTGACAGCAAATAGCAATCAGAAATCCCTGTGTGTCACAAGGCCATTTTTAAAAAGAGCTGCTTTGGTTATAAGCTATGTAAGTATAGAAATACTTTTGACTTCTCTAACGATGGATATCTTCCATATAGTTTTGTCCAGAGATTGTAACAATGTTACTCAATGGAATTCGCTGCAGAAGCTAGCAAGTAAAACCAATGTGTGAATGTTCTTATGTTTTAGAGTGAAGGTTACAAAGCACCTTAAAAATTTCAGTAAGAATGTGTATCTTAAGTTAGTATACCAGGATGATTCTTTTGCCCCAAAGTAAAGAATATATTCTGCAAGCAAAGGATCACTTAGTTACCCTGAAAAGAATACTATAAAAATTGAATGAAATACATATATAGCCAGGTTTAAAAAAAAATGTCTATGCAGAACTAGATACAAAAAAATTCAGCAGAGATAACATAAGTACAAGATGTTGTAAGATTCAGGAGTTATTTTTCTGGGAGTTTTTAGGTTGGATAATTTATGTTACATTCATTTAATCAGAGCAACAGTTATAAAATGTTAATCATTCCATTATACTCTGACTTCTTGATATGTACTCATTTTTCTTACAGCACCTTTTAAATTTCATTGCTATTCTTTTTTGTTTCATTTATTAAAATCCTTCCCTTCCCCTCACTGCTATCAGTAAAAAAAAAAAAGCATTTTTCAAGAATTTTTTCCCCTGAGGGGTAGTATGTGGCATGGTGGACAGAGCATCAGTTCTGGAGTCAGGAAGACCAGAGTTCAAATGTGGCTCAGCCACTGACTTTGTGATGCTGGGCAAGCCATTTAACCCTGATTGTCTCAAAAAAATTTCTTTCCCCTTCCAGTTATATAGTTTACAAATACTGTTAAATAAAATTTAAATCCTTCAAGACAATCTGAAAATTTGCCAAACTGACAATTTACCCTAAAGCTCAGAGTCTTTATGATTTTATACTGTATAGAAAATTTGATAAACCCACTCTGTAACTTCTGAAATGCTTTTGAATCTTGCTGTAAATTCCTCATTTTATTTTAAAATTTAGATTTGCTTTTCTAAAATACATCTGTGCTGTTTGTCTTAAAAATCAGAATCAACTATGCTTGCAGAGAAGACAGAGTCCTTAGGCTTTATTCAAGAAAAGTACTCCCATTGACTTTAATAGTATCACATACATAAGAAAACAGAAGCTAGAAGGTATAATTGCATGGACCTTCATAAGACAAAATTCATTTGAATTAAATGTTAACTCTGACCTGTGTAAAACTCAGGCTAACTACCTTAATATAATTCTAGAACATGATAGTGAAATCTAAAAAGATAAAAAGAGAGAATATTTTCTTTGTTGTAAAAAAAAAATCACTCTTATTTGGTTTAGGACAAATATTGAAAGCTTTGAGATTCAGGAGATAAGAGGTTTGATACAGCTATTTTAAAATGTCTGTAACTATTTATATTCAATTCAATTAAGGAAAAATTTAGTGTCTGCTAACTTCCAGGTCCCATAGAGCTTATAATATGTGATACTAAGTCATGTACATGTTGTGCTTTGGGGAACTCTTCCCCCCAGCTCATAGGGCAGGTCTCCCGGAGATGACTATCCCAAGTTCAATTGACTCTGTTGATCTGAATCCACTAGAATGATGGGGTCTTATGAGCTCCTATCAGTGTATTTAGAAGCCATAATATATGATTAATTTGAAGCAAAAATATTTAATGAAATGACGTAATAAGAAAGGTCACAATAAAGTATATTCCCCATAAATCTGGCGTGTAGTCTTGTACAAATAATTCATCATTGGGAGGTGGACTACATGTGTGGAGAACATGTATGGCCAGGTCGTATGCATCATGGGGAAACTTGTATCTCTGATTCTATCCAGCCACTAAAGCCTTATAAAATTGTTATTGTTTTGCTCTGACTGCTCACCTTTTATAGTCTTCACTGGGCAACCCTCCATCAAACAAAAAGTCTTTGTCATATGTTGCTCTTCTAGACACAGACATAGTTTTCACCAGATGCTGCTGTGCCAGACATGTAGTCTCTGCTGAATGGTATTCCTTTGAATGTATCTCTACCAGCAGAGTTGGATTGTGCTCTTTTGGACGCATGATTTCTGCTAAATGCTGTCAGGTTCACACTGGACACATGACTGTGGAGCTTCTCTTTGCTCTAGCTTCTGGCTTTAGCTGAAATTTTTGGCCGCAACGTTTTCTTTTTCATGGAGTATGGACGTTGTTAAACTCTTTTAGTTCGTAAGATCAAGGATTTTAGAGAAACAATTATCCTATCCTTAGTCATAAAAATATCACCAGCCCTTCTCTGGGGGTTGAGGAACTCTCCTTGCTCTTTTTCTTCACATAGGGGCCTGTCTGTTCCTTTCCAGAGTCTTGGCTAGAAAACTTTTCATCTCTAGCAATACTCTTTAGGATGCAGCTATTATCTTGAGGCTTTATCTTTTATTTGGATTGAACTTTTAAGTTATAATCTTGGAACTCAATGGGTGACTTAATTCTACTTTATGATGAACATTTCATATGCTTACAAATTTTAATCCCTAAAGACTGGGCTGTCATCTAGTTAAGGGCTATTTACTTAGCAACTGCCAAATAGCTCTAGGGTTTGGGAAACCCCTGTCTTTTCAACTCCATATCCCTTCTACTTGCCCATCCAGAAGAGTGGGCCAGGAAAGGCACAAAGACAAAGACAGGGGGCAAAGTCATCATCTCTTCTCTCTGCCCAATTACTAACTGACCTTTTATGTGCCAACATAACCAGCCAGAGCTTAAAGGAACTTTGCACTTACTTTTAAATACACAAATAATTATCATATAAGACGGAATGTGCCAAGTTCCATGGAGAGAACCAGATCAAGTCTTATGAACTGAGGGGAGGCAAGAAGGAAGTAGCACCTAAGATGGGCCTTAAATAGAGACATACATTGTAGTAGGCAGAGATGAGTAAGAAGTATATTCTAAGCATGACAGTTAGCTTGTGCAAATGTACAAAAATGGGAAAAAGAAGGATGGGATTAGGTGGTAAGTGGTGGTCGAGATTAGTCAGAATTTTGAATAATTTGAATAATAATTTTGAATATGTTATGGGAAGTCATCTGAAATCAGGCTGGAAAAGGTAAGTTGGATCCAGAGGACCTTGAATGCTAAGTTTTTCTTTGGTTCTTGTGATTACATCCTATACTGCTCTTCTTTTCCCTGATGCTCTGTCAACTGATTTTTAACATTTGGACTTTTAAAGTGCTTTTTGTAAGAACTGCTTCTAAAACTTAAAAATATGTATTTGTAAACCTTCTTGAAGTACCTTGCTGAAAGATGCTCCAGTACCTAACACAATCAAATTTTTTTCTTCCCAAAGGTAATTGTGACTTTATATTTCCGAATGTGGATAATGGGAGGATCCATGCCATTGTTCTCAGAGCAGGATAATCCAGCTTCATTTTCACCTTACGTTCTTACAAGGTACAGTGGAAATAACTAAAGAGCCTAAATGTACATATTCCACCATCCTAAGTTTTGCTTTTAGATTTGTTGGATGATCACTTGCTATCTTAAGCTTAACTAAATTACTGATGTTCTCTCTAAACAATGACCCTATTAATTAAAAGGCCAATGAAGAAAAGAAGGTACATTATAATGATTTTTTTTTAGCAAATGGTGAAATAGTAGTAGTATTGTTGTCATTATAACAAAACAAAGCTAAAATATTAAAATTTTAAAATCTGGCTGTGATTACCTAGTCACTCAGTTAACAAGCATTTATTAAGTGCTTATAGTGTGTCAGAACTATGCTAAGCATTCTGAATACAAAGAAAGACAAAGCCCTGGAAATGAGGAGGGAACACATTCCAGTCACAGAGGATAGCCAGCGAAAATGCCAGTCAGAAGGTGGATTTTCTAGTGCAAGGAACAATAAAGGACGTCAAGGTATGTGGATCATAGAATACATGGAAGGAAATAAAGTGTAAGAAGCCTGGAAATACAAGAAGGGGCCAGGTTATCAAGGGCTTTAAAAGTCAAACATAGGATTTCATGTTTGATTCTGGAGGTAATAGGACACTGTAGTTTGTTGAATAGGGAGGTGACATAGTCAGATATGTGCTTTTAGGAAGATCACTTTGACAGTTGAATCGAGGATAGACTGGATTGATGGTAATGTTTTTTGTCCTTCATTCTTGAAGAGAACCAATGATATCAGGAAGGTGATACCATGACTTGCAAGTCAGTTGGATTTAAGTGAGTGAGGGCTGTATAAATTTACCAGCCTCACTGTCTCCTTCCAAGTCATCTTGGTGCAGTGACAGGATATAGATCAGGACAACTGGAGATAGCCCAGGATGCAGTGGGAGACCTTGGCCTTTTTAAGTTAAGGTCTTTCCCAGGTCTCAGTTGGACTGAAGCAAGGCCCATTCAGTGATTAAGGCTAGGTAAGAAATGAGGCAAAGAATAGCCTCTTTTGCCTAGTCAAAAAGAAAAAAAAGAAAATCAAATTGCTATTTACTCTCACTCTGAGCAAACAGGACCCAAACAATGACCACTATGTGGGGCTTGGCCTGGGACCTATTGTTGGCCAATCAATGACAGCCAGAGTGATTTGGGTTTAAAGCATGGTCCTTAAGAAAGAAATCTAGTGGGTAAACCCCAAGATATCTTGTGAGATTTCAGGGATCAAAATTTATATTCCTTTAGGCAGAGCACCCGCAGGTAAGGGTATGATGCCCTATGTGAACAGAAGGAGAGAAGAGAGGGATAGGAAGGAGGGAAAGAAGGAAGGAAGCTGTGAAGGGGTGAGCTACATTGACCAAATGGAACTGGCCAGTTGGGTTCACATTGGTACAGCTTGGACTACTCATGGGTTGTCATTTGTCCTTCATTCTCAAAGAGGACCATGACATCAGGAAGACGATGCCATGACTTGCAAATGAGTTGGATTTAAGAGAGGGACAGCTGTGCAAAGTCACCAGCCTTACTCTCTGCTCCTGAGCCCTCTGGGTCCACTGGCAAGATATAGGTCAGCTTCACTTGGTTATTGTTTGGGCCCTGATGGTTCAAAGTGAGTGTAAATAGCAATTATTTCTGTTTTGGCCAGAAACCTTGAGGGTCTTTCCCTCCCAGATTGATTTTTTTTTTGACTAGGTAAAAGAAGCCATTCTTTGCCTCATTTCTTACCTAACCTTAGTCATTGAATGGGCATTGCCTAAGTCAAACTGAGACCAGGGAAAGAACTTAGCTTATAAGGCCAAGGTCTCCACAGCATCCAGGGCCATCTCCAGTTATCTTGATCTGTATCCTTGGGGATTTGTTCTGTAAAACTTGGACTCACTCAAAAGGCTGCACCCAAGGACCTAGAAGGCCACATGTGGCCTCAAGGCCACAGGTTCCCCAACCCTGACCTAGAATGATAGTAATAGGGAAGTTGGGAAAGTTTAACAGGGAGAAGATGATGGTTTCAATTTTAGACATGTTGACTTTAGGATGAGGATATACAAGATGTTCAAGATGCCTGAAAGGCAATTGGAGATTCAAGACTGTAGTTCAGAAAAGAGTTTAGGGTTGGATAAACAGATGTGAGAGTCATATGCATAGAGATAATAATTGAATCTAATAATTGAACTGATAGAGGGAGAAGAGAGAGAGCCCAGGACAGAAATTTGAGGGACACCAATTGTTAATGGATATGACCTGGATGAAGATATAGTAAAGGAAACTGAGAAGGATTATTCAGATGTGTAGGAGGAAAACCAGGAAAGAACAGTATTGCAAAAACCTAGAAACATGAGTTATCAAGGAGAAGAGGGTAACTGACAGTACCGAAGGCTGGAGAGGTCAAGAAATGGAGAGGTCAAGAAATATAAAGATTGAAAAAAGGGGAAGAGGATTCTGGGAAGATGGAGGAGTGGGTCAGAAAATTAACTAATGATTTGTCTATTTTATTAGTTTTTCATAAAACCAGCTCCTAATTTTATTTATTAGTCCAATGGTTTTCTTACTTTGAATTTTACTAATGTCATCTTTGGTTTTCAGGATTTGGTGTCGAATTGGAGATTTTAAATCTGTTCTCTTTCTAGTTTTTTGAGTTGCATGCCCAGTTTATCGATTTGTTCTTTCTCTATTTTATTGATGTAAGAATTTAGAGATATAACTGTCCCCCTAAGTACTGCTTTGGTCTCATCACATACATTTTGATATATTGTGTCTTTGTTCTCATTCTCTTTAATGAAATTATTGTTTCTATGATTTGTTCTTTTACTCACTCATTCTTTAAGATTGGATTCTTTAGTTTCCACTTAATGTTTTATCTGTTTTTCCACTGCCCTTTATTGAATGTGGTTTTTATTGCATTATGATCTGAAAAGGATGCCTTTAATGTTTTTGCTCTTCTGCATTTGATCATAAAGTTTTTATGCTCTGATACATGTTCACTTTTTGTGTTGGTGCCATGTACCATTTTAAAAAAGTTATTTTCCTTTCTATTCCCATGCAGTTTTTTCTAGAGGTGACTAACTTTCCCAAAATTCTGTTCATCTCCTTAACTTCTTTCTTGTTTAATTTTTGGTTAGATTTAATCTATATCTGAGTGGGGAAAGTTGAGGTCCTCCATTAGTATAGTTTTATTATATGTTGTACATTATTGTATATATTGTATAAATATTGCATATTTATTGTATCATTTTATATTGTATATAATATTATTGTATATACACACACACACACACACATATATAGTATATTATATATATTATTTTATATCCTGTAACTTCCTTAACTTTTCTTTTAAAAATTTGGGTGCTATGTTTGGTTAATGTAGACTTAGTACTGATATTACATCATTGTCTATGGTACCTTTTGACAAGATGTATTTTCCTTCCTTGTCACTTTAGATCTATTTTTCCTTTTGCTTTGTTTGAGATCAAGATTGCTTCTCCTGCTTTTTTTTTTAACTTTTGCTGAAGCATAATAGATTTTGCTCCAGTTCCTTGTCTTTACTCTGTGGGTGTCTCTCTGCTTCAAGTGTGTTTCTGGTAAATGACATATTGTAGGATTCTGGTTTTTAATTCACTTTGCTATCTGCTTCTGTTTTATGAGTGAATTCATCCCATTCACATTCACAGTTATGAGAACTATGTATTTCCTTCTATCTTGTTTTCATTTCCTTTCACCCTGTCCCCCCTCAAAAGTGTTTTGCTTCTGACTACCACCTTCCCTATTCTGCTCTCCTTTCTGTCATTTCTTATCTTCTTCCTCTCCTATTTCATTGTAGGATAAGATAGATTTATATGCCCAACTGAGTGTGTACGTTTTTCCCTCTTTCAGCCAATTTTGATGAGAGCAAGGTTCAAGCACTCCCTGCCACTCCCACCTTCCACTCCACTGTAAAAGCTCGTAGGTGCATTTTTAGGTGAGATAATTTACCTCATTCTACCTCTCTCTTCTCCCAGTGCGTCCCTCTTCTTCACCCTTTATTTTTTTTTTAGATATCATCCCATCATGGTCAACTCACACCTGTGCCCTCTATGTATACTCCTTTTAACTGCTCTAATAATGATAAGGTTCTTAGGAGTTACACATATCATCTTCTCATGTAAGAATATAAACAGTTTAACTTTATCGAATCCTTTATAATTTCTCTTTCCTGTTTACCTTTTTATGCATTTCTTGCATCTTGTATTTGAAAATACAAATTTCTATTCAGTTCTGGTCTTTTCATCAGGAATGCTTGAAAGTCCTCCATTTCATTAAACGTCAAATTTCCCCTCAAAGAATATATTCTTTTTTATTAATTAATTTATTCATTTTTAGTTTTCAACATTAACTTCCACAAGATTTTGAATTCCAAATTTTCTCCCCATCTCTCCTCTACCCCCACTGCAAGATGTCATACATTCTGAATACCCCTTCTCCCAATCTGCCCTCCCTTCCATCACCACCCCTCTTCTCTTATCCCCTTTCCCTTCTATTTGCCTGTTGAGAGGATAGATTTCTACCCCCCATTGCCTGTACATCCTATTTCCCAGTTGCATGTAAAAACAATTTTTTTTTTAGGCAATTGGGGTTAAGTGACTTGCCCAGGGTCACACAGCTAGTAAGTGTCAAGTGTTTGATGTGAGACCGGATTTGAACTCAGGTCCTCCTGATTTCTGGGCTGGTGCTCTATCCAGTGTGCCACCTAACTGCCCCAAAAACAATTTTTAACATTCTCCTTTCCTCCCTCCCCACCTACTCTCATTTGAGAAGATAAGCAATTTGATATAGGTTATACATGTGTCATGCAACATACTTTCATAATAGTCATGTTGTGAAAAACTAACTATATTTCCCTCCAACCTATCCCACCCCCCCCCATTTATTCTATTCTTTCATTTGAACCTGTCGCTCCTCAAAAGTGTTTGCTTCTGATTACCCACTCTCCCAATCTGCCCTCCCTACTATCATTCCCCCCTATTTTCCTGTAGGGTAAGATA